GAGAATGAATAATAAATCAATAAAATGCAATGAAGTTAAAGTATTTTTTTGGCAACAAAATTTCAATATCTATTTTCATCACCAAGCTATTATGGACATCGCCAATACTTTGAATAAATATGTATTATAATGTAAAATTTTAAAAGTATACAAATCTAATTTCACAAATGTAAAGACAATATTCAACTGAATTTGATTAAGAAATGACATTTGCACATAGTTATAAAATTTCAATTCTGACACAAAGCTTCCTGTGTTGAACGTGAAAAAATAAGCCTGCAAATTTCCAGGGAAATTGAATTATTAAAATTTCCCTATTATAATAAAAGCGAGATGCTGTAAAATATTTAATTTAAAATTTATTATAAAAAAAAAAACATATTTATTTCTGAGTTATTATATAAACAAAATTATAACATATTTATAAATATATAAATATATCAGTATATTTAAATGTTTTCAATATTTGACATAATACTTTTGTAAAGAAATATTCCCAGATCCCACAATCACAAAAGATATGTTACATGAGTAAATTTAAAATATAAATAATTAAAAAATTACCATTGAATTGCTTTTTTTCCCAAAGTAAGTCTGCGCTTTACAGGTTACCAGTGCATTGTTTGTTATTATTGAGATTTCAATAAATTGTTGAATTTGAAACAATTTTAAGTATGATGTTGAAAACACTAACCAATCCTTTGGGCAGAAGCAAAAATCCTAAATAAAAAAAAAAACATAACTTTTGAACTTTAATTAGCTCATTAGTTGTCAGACAGATTACCTAGCATATTAATTTTGTGCCTTCCTGTGTCAGAAAAAAGCATAACGTGTCTGAATCACACGGCGGCGGCGGTGCATGCATGCCTGAGCGAAATTAAATTGTGAAACAGGAGAGCCGCCGCACAAAATTGGTTATGCAACACGCAAGAGAAGAAATTGAAAAGGGATGATCGGATCGTTTGTGAATCACGCAACGTATCATAAAATTCCTCTCTTTTCATTTGCATGCTTTTCGATAATTAAAATAATTATAATTAGCTCATTTCTTCTAATGGTTCCATGATTTGGGGAAATATTTTTCAAAATTATTATTTATTCATTGCGTAAGGTGCTGGGCACATGCAAAAGAGCGATGATTGCGCGCGTGAGTGTGCGGTGCTTTATTACTTGCTATCAGGCCGTGCTTTATTGAGGCAATAAACTAGGGTAATTAACTCAGCTAACCGCGCTGCACAACACATACTAAGATAAGCTTTATATTATTACGCGCGCCCATGCGGCCTGGCCGCGTGAATAAATTTCCGACCGCGCACGTAAACGCCGCTTGGCCACTGCATGTGCAAAGGTGAGCCATTATTGTATTTCGGAGCCGACCCGCACCAGCCTGACGTGTTATAACTCCTTTTCAACCCTTGCGTGATTAGTATTGAATTATTGCAAATAGAGATCTTAAATCCAGTTCCAAGCTCGCTGGCTTACTTATACTCACGACCCCGAGCATGTCAAAAACTCGTAAACTTTTTGATAGTTTTTCAATGCTCATATTATTATAATAATAATAATAATAATAATAATAATTATTATTATTATTACTTACTCACTTACTCTTCTCCGTCAATGCAAAAAATTTTCAATTGGAAAAAAAGATATACTGGGATTCAGCTGTTCAATAAATTGGTTTTTTATTTTATACGTGAAATGTATATAATTTCTGGTATCAAACCACACCCACAAATGTTGGAGATAATTATTACTAATGTTACTAGTATCTTTGCTGCAAGGGTCAAAGCATACAATATAAAATATTTACTGCAAAATGTATAAACAATTTTGTGAGATAAGCTTTAGCTTAATTATATTACATAAAATGAAAACACAAAAAATTAAAAATATTTAAAATTGTAAATTAAAATAATTTAGAAAGCTAAAAAAACCATTTATTTATAAAAAATATGTGTACACATTTTAATAATATGTTGTTAAATTAAATTATCTGTGTTACTAGTTTTACTGATTACAATAAAAATCAATCATAATACGCATGGTAGAATCTGGGTTGAATTATTTTATGGGTTAGAATAGGTGAATTTAGGAACATTATATTTTACTGTTCAATTAGTGTTACATTATTATTATTATTTTTTTAAAATGAGATTCGTGATTTATTCATTCTTTAAGGCAAGAAATAAATTTAATTACAGGTTAATTGCAATCATTTAATTTTTGAATCTCATTCAATTTGAGGTGAAAAATGTAATTTTTAATGAAGTTTTAAGGCATTCAAAGAACAATAAGTTCATATTTTTAGAATTTTGTTTTCAATCGCTCATGCTTCCATATCCATGAAATTAAATTACTTGGCCTTGTTCTGTTTTCTATGAAATTTACAATCACCTAATGTTATTAAAAGCCAGAGAAAAATATAAAATTTACCCTTAAAAAATGATGTTGCATTTTTTCAAATTCCCATTAAACTATATAAATTAAAAGAAATTAAATACACAAATTTTTTTGTTTTTCAGACCATTCAATTGCATTCCAGCTTTTACATATTTTATTTTATTTTATTTTATAAATTATTTCTTTAATTTTTGCTCTGTTTTACAATCAACTTTCTGGAGCCTTTGCTTATACACATGTGTACACCATGCATGGTACACCATTAGCTGCGCGCACTCTGTTCTTTCTGCTATTTTTCCAATCGTGATCTGCAAGTGGCGAGGCCAATTTTTCAGCCGTGTGATTGCATTGTCCGCCGCGTGCTGTTTTGGGCGCAGCCAGCTGTCCGAATCGGCTGGACGCCTTTGAATAATTGGAGAGGACGGACAAAGAGCCTCACGAGAAGATAATTTAATTTATTACGCAGTCGCCTCCATTGTGCGGCGCGTTTCTCTGTGTCATGCTGTGTGAGTGCGGCTGGGGCCACGCAGCCGTGCCGTAATTCTGATTAAGAACCCCTGCCTGTGTGCCAGGCCCGCGGGACCACCTCCGAAAATACATATCAAAATGCCGAAACCGCTCGCTGCGGTTTTAATGCGCTTATTCCGGGGCGTGGGGAGATTTTCTTTTTCGTCTGCTGCGTTGGTAATTTGATGGCGGACGCGTGAGATGCATTTAGTTTTTTTCATACAAATACAATTCATTGTGTCTTTTTAAATGGCCGTTTTCCGCTAATATAAAATGTAAAATTTACCAGTTAATATTCAAAACCTTTCGTACCACTTTAAAATTCTTCAGCGAATAGACCCCCAATTGGTTACAATACAAAAACGTTCACAAAAAGAATTCAAAACGTTCAGAACGTCAGTATTGAACAAAAAGTTGGATTTTATCAATAAGCTTTTATAAATTGCCATGCCAAAATTTACAATTTTATAAATTTTATATAAATATTATTAAATAGGCATTTTTTTAATAATTGCCTAAAATTTTATTCTTCAAAAATTCATCTTCATTTATATAAATTTGTAGATGTTTTTACCTATTTTGATGTTGCATTTCTTATATTATTATTCTTAATTACTTTCGAAAAATATGGTTTCATTGGAAATCACATCTGTCATTTTTTACACCGAAAAAGAATAAAATACAGCTGAAATTTTCGGCATGCTATATTTACTGCCTTGTTATCTTTCTATGGCTAATTTCAGTGAAACCAACCTTTTCCCACTTTTTTGCCCGAAAGATCCATAAATTGGCACCTATTTTCACACTTTCCTCAGGGATATCTTTTAAATTTTCACTGATGAATTCTAGAGGAAACGAAATAATGTTTGAAACGATAACTATAATTTTATTTTTTACTTTGCGAATGTAATAAATTTAACTTTATATTTATAGAGTTAAATACAAATATTAATTTTAAAATTCTTAAAATCTTAATCATGATGCTTGAAGATTATTATTATGCACATATTTAATCTATCAACATCGTCAACAAATTGTTGAATGTAGTTTAATGATTTCATTACCCATCAAGGCAAGTGCCGGACGCGGCAGTTTGCTCTCATTGTATATGAATGCGATTGGATCTCTCTTTCTCTCTCAGTCTGATATTCGCATCTTTCTCGCTCACTCACTGCAAACAAACAGAACAAGCAGAGAAAGAAGAGAGCCGCGGCGTGCAGCAATTGAAACACACACACCGGACGATTGATAGCTTAATATTTAAATCGGAGAGTGAGCATTACTATTTTTTGTGGCGGCTGCTGCGTGTGTGTATATCATTATTAATGGCAAGATCATGGTTATGGCTGCTGGGTGGCGGTTTGATTGGTCATCGCGGGTCGTTTGCCCGCCCCAGACGGCCTCCGATTGGAGCTCGAGCACCGCCAGGTGTTTTTGCTTCTGATCCCAGATCAACGCGCGCCACAGTGCATTATATACGAGAGAAGTTTTATTCGGGAAACGCAACATCTGCTCTGCGAGCGAGAGAGCTTTGCTGCTGCCCGGGATGCAGCGTCATTACGCTTATTATCCACGGGATGGAATTTTTTCGTCGGTTTTTGATGATGCGCTCGCTGCCTAATGACGACGCAGCCGCGGGCGGCGCCGAATTCATCAGCGTGCCCTTCTTCCAAATGTCTTTCTTTTTCGGCGGCCGCACGATGATGGTATCGCATTCCAATGGACGCTCCGATGGATTCGCCCTTGAACGCCCGGCGATTCCAGATAACTCAATTTCCACTCAATAAATTCATTTGTTCCGAGCACAAATTACTTTTGCTTGTCTCGCTCCGCCGATCACCAAGTAAATTCAAAACTGAAATTTATTTTACTTCAAGTCTGCTGTGGCTAATTAAGCAGAAAATTCCATTCTCCACAACTGACTTCACAAATATTATATTACGCGGCCAAAATTTCAAGTATTCCAACTAATGATATAAATCTCAATTTTCTCAAAACTTCAATTTATTTATTAAATTCTTAACTTGGATGGTTAATTAAAAATTTAATTGTTTGCCAGATTGATATAGCATTGGGTTATTTTCACTTACGTTAGTTTCAGAAATCCATTGATAGTGACGGTCTTTAGAAAGAATCTTCAAATCCACCTAAAAAAATAAGAACTGTTTAAATAAAAACGTAACACAGGAAAAAACTGGGCTTCTGCGTCAAAACTTTATTGTCTGATTATATTGTTTTTGTTAACTATTTTTAATTTAATTCTCATTTAAGATTTAATCTTATAATGCGGGAATTGTGTTGTTTTATTTGGAAATTAAGTAATATACCAAAGCTAATTATGCAATCCGCTTGTCACACACGTGTGACGTCGCAGCCCTGCGCCTTTCCCGTCAGCCTGCAGATTTGGGAACTAGGCAACATGCGTGACAGATCCACCCAAACGGTTGCGTGATTTATCATACAATTTGAGGGGCACAATCACAAATTCGTTCCCAGAATTCACATCAAAATACGCTGCATTTTGAAATTCGTTGCGTCGGTTTTCTCATTTGAATAACAGTTTGAGAGGTTCCTTTCATCACGCGACCAGACACAATTCCCATCAGATTTATAGAACAATAAGGTATGGGAAAATTGGAAAAAATAAGTTGCCATACTTAATATGTAAAAAAAAATTAATTCTCAAAATTATATTGATATATAATAAAAATTGAAAAAGTTTATTGCAGTGTCGGAAATCTAAGGATTGATTTATTAAAATAAGCACATTCAATTGATATTTTTTTTTTTTTAATATTTTCTTTTTTTGTTCAGTTTTTTTTTACGTAATTGTAATTCTTTCTTTTGGCAGCAACTCAAGCGTGCGATAATTTGGACTGAAGAGAATCGTGGCTGAATGATTTCTGCGACTCATGCTCTTTCGCTCTCTCCGTGCAGGCGCGCATGTACATTTTACTCTTAATTGCCTCTCGGTAATAACCTCGGAGCAAGATGTCATTAATTTTGCCTCTACTCGCACCGTCATCAACCAAACTCGCTTAATTTTGTTCAAACATAAAACGGCGGCAGATGCTCGACCCGCGGCCATTGGATTTTCTCAAGTCGGCCGTCATTAAAAGCCTGGCCTAAAACTTAATTTCTCATCGCAGGCTTATTTATTTATTTTTTGTTCTCGTTTGCACGTTCATTAAAATCGCGTCTCTATAGATTTATAAATTACTCGGCTCCCCTTTTATACAAGGATATACAAACTCAAACACGTTTCTCTATCGCGATGGATGAATATAAGGAGAAGGCAAAACCATGATGGAAGTATAAGAAAGCCTAACGAGGCTCGCTGATCATATTTTATCCGGCACGTCAGGCGATATACTTATTTATTTTACTAGCATATACCGCGAAACGGTTTGAAATTACTTGCTGTGCGTTAATAAAGAACTAAAGGCATAAAATATCTTGATTTAAATTTAATCGCTACATAAATTTGGAAAAGGAACGACAAAAATATGGATAATTAGATGAAAATGAAAGATAAATGAAATGTACAAGCGGTGAATAAGACAATTTTTTTCTGTAATGGTGAATTATTTATAATATATAAAATATTTTTACTCATCTTAATCAATATTCAAAATAGTATCATGCAAAAGGTCGATCCAAGATTTTAATTTTTCAAGTTTTATATTGATTGTTTTGTGGTCATAAAACATATATTATAATTGATAAAAAATAAATTTGATGAATAAATTGTTTTCAACAATCGAATGAAAAAAATGTGTATTTGTAACAATGTGGACCAATAATCTATAATAATAATCTATAATAATAATAATAATAATAATTATTATTATAATAGTATTAATAATAATAATAAATTTTAAATGTCTATAATGACTGTAAAATATTAAAATTTTAATTTGAAGTTTGCTTATTATTTATTTCTTCTTTTTAAGTTATTATTACTCAAAATGTTATCCTCTCAAATGTTTTACAGATACCAAGATGAATGCCAAGGTCAGCAAATTGTAAATTTTTATAAACCATTTTTTTAAAACAAAGATTTGTTATTTCTGTATTTCTCTCAGCACTGTAGTTGCTGTTTTTTCTAAAAAATAATTTTCTTTTTATCAATTCAACAAATTTTTTTAACGAAAGATTTGTAACTGTAATAATAAAGTCGTAAAATTTTTGTTTTTCTATTTTCCCCATAGGAAACTTTCTCTCATAAAAAAAGGAATTATTATTATTATTATTATTATTTTTTTTTTTACTCTAATAGACACTTTTATTTGTAACCTCTCAAGCCCATTGAATTTTAAGTGCTAGAGGAGAAGGGATATTTTTGAAACTTATGCTAAAGCAAACAAAGCTCCTGTCAAAATTAATAGAATTTATAATAACCACTTTGAAAATAATAACATCTTTGCCGATGTTATATAGAGAGAGATACGAAACATCTGCGTAGCCCTTCTATCTCCCATGTATATGGCAAGAGATATTATTCAACGTAGACAAGGAGAGGCGCAGGTAAATAATATTTTTCATGATGGCCGACTGATGGGTTTATATTCTCTCCGAATAATAGAGTTAATTATAGGGCTGCTCGCTCACAAACCCCCCTGCAGTCCTGCTGATTATGTGACCCTAAGGGTACCTTCTTTCTGTGGGCGTGGTGAGTTTTCCTTTTTCTCTCTAGACCAGCTCTGCCTGTATATAATGCGAGGGGATAAACACATGGCCCCGCTGCATGAAAAGTTTAATATCATAATCGCCAATGATAAACTGGTTGTTGTGTTATTTATTATTTATTGTGTGGAGCAGTGCGCGCTCACAAAAAATACGTACATGCCAGCCCAAGGTACATCGCGTATCATAAATTTTTATCTTGGCCCCGCAAGAGAATTATTGTAATTTATATTTGTTCTTGCAAAGCTGTAATTTGCTTGTTACAACTTCACTCGCTCTTGCTCAGCACGCTTGGCTTCGTACTTTAGAAGAAAAAAATCATTGCGCTTTTTTGCGCACTCTTGAAATAAGTTTAGCACCGCGATTTTCCTGCCAATTCAGGGTAAAAAAAAACGATTTGCAAAGCAGATATAAATATGGGTATAATATAATGCTAAATTTTTACTTTCCACACTTCTGACAACCTTTTATCAATTTTTGAGACTTTTTATTTATTATTTCATTTATAAAACATAATCGTTTTTTAAATAATTTATAATACAAGAGTTAAACTGACTGGGAGATAACTCTGTTTTTGTTGTTCAAAATAAAATTTTTTCTATTGAATGATAATTTTATAATTATTATACAGTATTATTTATATATATATATATTTTTTTTAAATTTACAAAACAAAAATATCATCATATTGAATAAATTTTTTCTTTATACTGTCAATAAAAAACTTCATAAAATAAATAAAAATAATTATAATCAGATTATTAATTTTTAATGAAATAAAATCCAGGTATAAAATGTAATTAAAATTTCGATATCATTTTACGCTATTTAATAAACCATAACTCAAAGTTTAATCACATGGTTTACTTAATATAATAAAATATTCGGACGCTGATTTTAAATAAAAAGAGTTAATAATTACATTCTTCTGACAATCATCTACATATATTCATTCTCTATTTTTTCAAATCAAATTTTTTTATTCCTTTTGGATATTTCTGATTGAGAGAAGCGCCGCTAATGATGACAATCACGTTTGCATCAGCGACACACACGCGTGTCGTCGTCACTCACCCGTGAATCTCAATCATCATCCCTTTAAAAAGTGACAGCGAGCCGTCTTGCTTCAGCACCCTTTCCTTTTTCAGCGGTCGCGTTTTGTTCAGGTATAGGCGTGCTTGGCGCGAGTTTCGAGAGATGGCACGACTGCGGGCTTTTTTACCAGGTGCTCGGCGAGCAGCATAACTGCCAGGAGAATCCTATTTTTACTCCACGTAGTGGGCCACTCGCTTGATTATCAGACTTACATTAATCTTAAAAAAAAAGAAAACTTGATAGCTGTAAAAAAAAACTATATTTTCACAATAATGTTTTGATTTAGTAAGTAAAGGAAATAATTAAAAACATTTTTTTTTTCAAAATAGCAAATAGCTTTTCCATCTATATTAAAACGGTATTGAAGAATTTTTCCAAAAAAATATTATACCGATACATGCAGAACACGAAAAAGAATGAACAGAACAGTAGTCTGGGCTCCGAATTGAATTTATATAAATTTCGAAGCTCTGCTGAAATTTAAGAATTTTGCTATCGCCTATTGCCTTGCAACACTTGGAACTTCCCTGAATATGCAAATGCCTTGGTATTGTATGTTGTGCACCTGCGATCGCTCATCGCCCAGCAAACGTTTAATTCAACATGCACAAATGATTAATGATGTCGGGTCGACGGTTAAATACAAACAGCCAATCGTGTTCGACAAGAAATAAATCCCACATCGGCATAAATCACGCCGCTATAACTCGTCGATGATAAAATAATGCACACACGCGTTGTTTGTACATTGCATTGAGAGAGACAAGAGAGGCGCGTTTCATAAAGCAAATATAGTACCAGAATGGAAAAGCGACCTCAGCACCAGGACTTAATGAGCTGCAGCGATTTCATTGAAAATATATCATACACGGAATAATTACAATAAAAGCACGCGGCCGTAAAAGGTGGTAAAAAGTTGATTTGTGTCATTTAATTGGATTTAATTAGCCAAGGGAAACGAGCAATTAAATTATATAAATATATAAACGGTCTGATTTATTTCTCCACTCGCCGCGGTATAAATTATGCGCAAGGGAACTTATCTTTTGCAATTTATTTCCCGCGAGAGAGTTTTAATTCCTTGCATGAAGTATCAAATTACACATGAGATTCTGCCATGTTAACCCTCGTCGGGCCGGCCATTAATCATCAGCATCAGTGACAACTCAGTCGATATGCCAATATTTCTGCGCAGCACCGCGTGCAATTAATTAAGCATGCGCGTCGATTGATATCTCTCTTTATTTTTCTTTTACCACTAGTTTAGCTGCTTTTCACTTGACTCATGTTAGGACACATAAAAGACAACCGATCTGCAAATAAATTTCAACTTACCGCGAATAAAAACCGCGAGAAGCAAATT